TGAGGTCAGTGGTTCGAATCCCGTACAGGCCTGAAATTTTTTTCAGGTCTGATTTTCACTATTGCTCAAATAGTGCTTTACTGCGAAGGATCGTTCTCATATACGTCTCATAACCGCAGTTCACACATATGTTTCATATGTTTGTTGTTGTTTGATTTATCATCTACGGGTTTATATCGAATTAATTTGATGGCCTGCTCCCAGTTGGCTTGTTAGCTCAATTGGTAGAGCGCTGCACTAGTATCGCAGAGGTCAGTGGTTCGAATCCCGTACAGGCCTGAAATTTTTTTCAGGTCTGATTTTCACTATTGCTCAAATAGTGCTTTACTGCGAAGGATCGTTCTCATATACGTCTCATAACCGCAGTTCACACATATGTTTCATATGTTTGTTGTTGTTTGATTTATCATCTACGGGTTTATATCGAATTAATTTGATGGCCTGCTCCCAGTTGGCTTGTTAGCTCAATTGGTAGAGCGCTGCACTAGTATCGCAGAGGTCAGTGGTTCGAATCCCGTACAGGCCTGAAATTTTTTTCAGGTCTGATTTTCACTATTGCTCAAATAGTGCTTTACTGCGAAGGATCGTTCTCATATACGTCTCATAACCGCAGTTCACACATATGTTTCATATGTTTGTTGTTGTTTGATTTATCATCTACGGGTTTATATCGAATTAATTTGATGGCCTGCTCCCAGTTGGCTTGTTAGCTCAATTGGTAGAGCGCTGCACTAGTATCGCAGAGGTCAGTGGTTCGAATCCCGTACAGGCCTGAAATTTTTTTCAGGTCTGATTTTCACTATTGCTCAAATAGTGCTTTACTGCGAAGGATCGTTCTCATATACGTCTCATAACCGCAGTTCACACATATGTTTCATATGTTTGTTGTTGTTTGATTTATCATCTACGGGTTTATATCGAATTAATTTGATGGCCTGCTCCCAGTTGGCTTGTTAGCTCAATTGGTAGAGCGCTGCACTAGTATCGCAGAGGTCAGTGGTTCGAATCCCGTACAGGCCTGAAATTTTTTTCAGGTCTGATTTCCACTATTGCCCAAATAGTGCTTTACTGCGAAGGATCGTTCTTATATACAACCTGACCTTTATTGTAAATTCAAAGCTAATACAAGTGGCATACACTAAGACCAGAAATAACGAAAAAAGTTCCAGGCTAATACATTATATACTGGTATTGTATAAACATTTAAAATCTTTGGATGGGTGGGCAGGAAAGTCGGCAATGGCAGACGTGATAAAAACAACTGCCCGCCCTATAGGTCACATAACCTATACCCAGGCCCCAGCGGCACGTAAGAAAAACATTTTTCACTTATTTCGTTCCACTCAGCCAGTGAAAATTACTCTTTATTCAGCCACCAACTCAGTTCACGTCATGACCACCCTGATAATTGCTCAAATTTCAAAAAAGCATTTCAGTATACCTGCTCTTGTTCCATTCAGTTTGATCTGGCAGAGTAACCATAGCTGTTGATTAAATGTTGATAGGATTCCTGTGTCTATCTGAAATGGCCCGGTCTACAGATAAAGAGAACCAAAACATAAATACCGGTATACAGGTAAACTTCTGCACATCTACTGACTTATTGTTAACTTAACTATCCAACATAGGCTAATAGTGTTTTCTGGTCCTGGGAAATGATATTTCTTATTACTTTACACATTTATCATGACATAGTCACAGCCTAAATACTGAAAAAGGTAAAGTGCACAAGACAAATTGGATCTAAAAGACAGTTTCCCAGAGCTTCTGGCTGGAGCTTAACCAAGTTTCTGAAGCCTCCAATGACTGCAGGTGCCCTTCCCATCCCTTACAGAAAGAATGCTAGTGCAAGGCATGTCCCTCTCCTCCCCAGTGTGAATGACTGGTGCCCTTCCTATTCCTTACAGAAAGAATGCTGGTGCAAGGCATGTCCCCTCTCCTCCCCTCCCTCCCACCTCCCTACATTTCATGAGGCCACTTACAGTTCATCAACACCCATTCATATTTCTTACTGGAGAGGACACTATGACAGTCACAGTGTAAACCTCCTATAGCTTTAAAGAGGTGTGCAAAAACAGCTGAAGAAAATAACACAATGACTTTGGTAGTGCTTGTATATGGGCCAATTTTTAGTAAGCCCCATCTCTCTGGGGTGGAAGATGTGGTGACCTCATGGTTAGTGCACTCAGCTCTGGATCAAGTGGTCCAGGTGCAAGCCCTTGCTAGAAACGTTGTGTTGTGTTCTTAAGATTAGACACTTTACTTTCACAGTGCCTCTTTTCACCCAGGTGTTAAATGAGTACCAGTCAATGTTATACTGGAGGAGGGGGGGGGAATGCTGCGAAGGAACACCATCCCATCAAGGAGGGGAGTAGAAATACTCCTTAATGCTTCAATGCTACAGAAACCACATTTCTATGGAAAACCATAATTTAGAAGCTAATACATGCAGGGCTGGATGGGTTGACATGAGCAAGTCTGCAAAAAGCCATCTGGCCTTGCTTAACTCTCACATCACTTTGTTGCAAAAACTTAAAGGAAAACAGAATTCAGAAAAAAGTCATGGTTTTCAAGGAATTTGGAGTTTCTTGTTCTAACTTGAAAAAAAACAAGGAAAAGTGCCAATAGCAGAATTTTTTCATGCTTGTGTGGCTGCAAGTGTGCCTGTCTATCACCTCCCATTAAGATTGAAATTTTCAACACTTAGTGGTCATATGAAAAAATACTTATTGACTGAGTTTCATAAGGTTGGACAGGAAGATATATGCCCTTGATTATGAGGCACAGACCTCGCTGCACTTAGTCCATACATCATGACCTCAAGCCAAATGTTTTCCCGCCTGGCCCACCCACTCAGTCAATATTAGTACGATATTTTACTCATTCTTTGGTATTTTGACTTGCCCTATGAGCTTGTCAAAAAATGACACAAGTTGTAAAAATTCTCAGGAATAATACCACGGTTTGTACACTTTTTCAGGCCAAAGATTCAAGGACTTTTCAAGGACTTTCCAGGACCCTACTTCTAAAGAAATTTCAAGGACTTTTTGTAATGACAATTTTACCTCAAAACCAAGAAAAATGTTTCTGTTAACATCTAATGTTTTGGGTTTACTGATGGCGCAAAACAAAAGCAAATATTTTTCAATGTTGTTCAATAAAAAATCAAGGACTTTCAAGGACCCAAAATGAAATTCAAGTACTTTCAAGGCCTCCTGAAATTCAAGGGTTTTCAAGGGTTTTCAAGACACATACGAACCCTGTAATACACACCAAAAAATCCAATAAGATACATTTGATACATAAGAATGATGTACATCTACTCACCAATAACTTTCCATTTGATACATGAAGGTTTGATGCACTTTGGGTATGTTTAGCAATAATAGAAGGTCCTGCAAAAAGAAGCAAATTGAAACAGATGATTGAATATTAAAACAGAAAGAAGTCGGTTTCCAAGACAATTTTTTTTGATAATACACACCATATGGTATTTTCCCAATCTCCTAGTTCACTCACTTAATAAATGAAGTAATTTAAATAAATACATCAGTCTGCAAAGCAGACACACTTCCTTTAGTTACTAGCTGGCCATAAAAATTTAACATTCAACCTCTACTTTAAGATACCCTAAAGAATCATTACACATGGGTTGAGTGCAGAATCGATAACTCTTAAAAATTTGTGTCACTAAGTTAATTAGATATAAAACAAATGTACACTGCTGCCTTTTATATACACTCCATATAAATGTACACACAATAGAATAAAACCATCCCTTATAGTTGCACTGTGACTTCCAACAAAAATTAAGCTTGAAATATTGAAGATGTCGCACAGCTCTGAATATCATAGCAGTGTTTTCAAACTTTTATTTTGCTATTTTTAAGGCCTTATTATTTTCAAAAGTTTATAAGGCCTCTAACTTCTGTTGTCATTCAAATTCGAGTTTTATACCTTTTATGTCATCAAGCTTCATGGTTACTTCTAACCGCATAATTAATACAAATTGGTAGAAATCAACTAAGATGATATGGGTAGACAACTTACATTATTATAATTCACAACTTCAAAATGAAAGCGCGCATGTTAAAGCCACTATTAATGAAAGCAAAATATTCATCTGATATCATATTTCCGTTTGGTTAACTTCCTTAACGAACAATTTACTTAAGCGTGATTCTAAAATGCAATCAAGGTTTGCTCGACTCGTGTGGTTACAAAATGAATTAAGAATAAATATTACAACACGTAGAACCAAATACATCGATCAGAGTTAAGTTTATGTAAATTTTCTTTACTTACAACTAATTTTAGGGCTAAATTTTCCAGTATTTTCACCGACTGAGTAGTGTTCATTCGTTTTGAGATCACAATCTAGACACTCTTCGGTTAAATAGTTAACAAATCGATTTTTCCTTTTTTGTAAGCGCCCCTGAACACCGAGGCAACTAATGACTTGCGAGAAAACACGTCGAAGCTTCAAATTTGTCATTATGGAAAGTCAGGATTTTGATCATTGACCTGTAATAATTTGTTTTCACTACCAAGGGATTTTTCCACGTTTAAAACAGAAAAGAGCATTCTTAAGGGTGGAGATAACTCCAGCCACTTTAATGCATCGCTTTAAGTGATATTCAGTAAAAATACAGAATATTATTACAACGGAAATTTTATAAGCTGGCTACCCACTTCAACCAAATCGTTAAGCCATTGCACGACTAGATTACTGCAGCAGCCAAATTTGCCGCTTTTTCCAACGCTCGAATACCCTGGAGATACATAAAAGAGGCCTTATTACCTACTTCGTACAATAAATTAGCTTCTCTAATGGCGACAAACCTGCAATTCCAATGATAACTGTGAGGAAAAAAGCCACGAAAAACGAGACGAAGACCAAAACAAATTGCCGTTTGGTAAGAGTATAGAGACGCATTTGGACCGTTCTGCGGAAGGAGAAAAACATCAATTCAATCAGCAACGGCTGGGAAAAGATAACAACGACAAAAGCAGCATTTATCTTACGAGTCCATTTCCTTGGTGGCCATATTTGAAATTCAGAAGCAATTTACTCCGCAAACACAACCATAATTAACGTCGGACGCCAAAGGAACAACTCATCTCGCTTTGTTCAACAAAGTTGAAAGGAACTGGGAACAAGGAAAATTTGCATACCCTCATCTCTTCAACGCGGAAATAAATTATATCGAAACAATTCTATCTTTTTTTTTAGGTTCACGGTTTCCGTTTTTGTCTGCGAATCAATATTCACCAAACGAATATAGCCTGGACAGTTCTAAGCCAAATAAAGATCTCACATAAGAAATTCTTGTTCGAACAAAAGAAAAAAAAGGATTCTGCCGACAAAAGGATCGCCCGGATCGTTGAAGAGCCGGTTTTGCATACAGCTACCCGAGGAATTTTAAAAGTTTTAACGATTTTGATAAACTTGACCCGAAGTTAAGCTTTCTGATATATGATGTTTAAAAGTTATAACCTTAACTTAAATACGATGACCTCCTAAATTTTTCACATTTGGTCCTTCGCCGTACGTGCTGAAACAACTGACAAAGCAGTACCCGAGCGCGGTTAAGACTTTAAACTCAACTGAACATCAAAATGCAGATTTCAACCACTTCTTTACTTCCACCATTACTTGATCAAAACCAAGAAAGAAACAGTAATTATTCAATACGACTGGTCAATCATTTGAAAGGAGAGATATCTCTATAACTGTCGCATTTTTCCTTAAAATCCTTAACTTGGCGGCATTTTGTAAACCCTTACACCATGGTCCTAACATCAGTATGCATATTCTCCATACTTCTCTCTATACATTTCCTATGGTATTAACCAGGAGAATTTGTTTAAAAAAGTCAAGAATGCCTCGGGTGGTTGGTTATTTCCCGTATTCTCAGAACCAACGTGTTTAGAGAAATTCATAGTGGATGCCATTGTCGGATCCAGGGGGAGGGTCCGGGGGTCCGGACCCCCCCCTAACAGACCTGACGCTTAAAATTCTTATATCGACAGGATCGTACATCACTTTTTAACTTGCTGATCTTTTTAATGAATCCAAGTAAACGGTAAGCGACCAAGGAATTATAACGTGCAACCGCTACTAGTGGGAGGGGGGTGTGGGGGAGAAGTAATTTGCCTCAAAAGGGTCCAACAGTCCTTTCTGAGCCAAAGTTTGGACCCCCCCCCCAATAAAAAATTATTGGATCCGCCCCTGGATGCTCGTCACGCCAACGGATTAATGGTTAAAGGAGTCAGTCCCGGTTTCTATGAAAAGAAGCGAATACGGTCCTAATCCTCTCCCGAGTTATTTAATCTTTCTCCTCTGCGATGAACTTGCCCACTAGAATTGTCGAGTTTCCTTGACAGTCGGCCGATATCTATATATGGAACTACCGTGAGAGTACAGTCTGTCTTACCGTAAAGACAGCACAAAACGCAACCGGACCAGGGCTCGAATCGCCGGGGTCCAGTGCTTTTCCATCAGAACTCTTTTCTCTGAAGGGTGAAAGATAATTGTAGTTAGGAATGCAAAACGTGATTGTCACATTTCTGAATGGCTCCCGTTTCAATATTTTATTTCCAACAATTTACCGGCTGCCGTTAGTCAGTCGCTTTTTTTTTTATTGGAGACATGGGTGTGAATATCGAAAAAACAAAAGGAAGAAACAATTGATATAGAATTTGTTCCCAGCAGGAAGTTTTTGTTACTGAAGATATTAATTTTATCCCAGCTCAAACTTTCCGGTTTAGAGTTAAGAGCGCATGCCATAACTAACGGAATCGGAAAGAGAAGGGATATGAAGATGACCCCTGTGTGCATCCTCAAAATCTGTGTGAAATCGTCATTCTTTTGAGCTTTGGAATAATATTTTACACTACGAGTATATGATAATTTCTTTCACTCTCATTTTAACAATGTTCTGGCGCAAATTATTATTTTGGTCACCTCAACTAAAGCGTTCAGAATACTTAATAAACGGTTTGTAGTTTATATTATGTAATGTTGATAGCCTTGTAATTATTTATATGTAAATTTTCTTGTTTTAGCATTAGTTTTGCTTAAAAACAAGAAGACCAATAATAATAATAATAATAATTATTATTATTATTATTATTATTGTTATTATTATTATTATTATTGTTGTACGAACCTCGGTGGTAGTGTACTGTTTGTATCAACTTCTCTTTGATTACCAAGTAACCGATCTGCCAGCATTTCTACCTTAGCCGATTTGAAACTTGAGATGCAGGGGACGGCTATAATGGTGTAGAAGAAATTATTTGTAGGTATAGGTTGTTTGACGGAGAGGTTCAAATATGGCTTAAATCTATAAGTACGAAGATGGCTTCAAGTTGATATTTCTCTGAACTTTACTCTAAGAAACTCTTAGTTTATGAGTTAATATTTCTGAGTTTCATTAATTTTCTTACCAGTTTGCGATTTTTGAGGCCTTATTTAAGTCGGATACAGATGACCACATGTCACTGTGCACGTACCATGTACTTACATTTTTTTCCTCTCTCACCGACAAGGGCTCGACTTTCCAGCCCCGGGTAGCTTGGCTGCGTGCGAGTCAAAATTTGCCAACAAAGTACAAATGCCTACGCGTTGTCACGCATACCTCCCATGTCAATAAACGCTTGCAATTCAATGTTATTGGCTCTTAAAACGTTTCTTCTTCGCTTTGAGAAGGCGTCCCGCAATACTGATGAGATTAATAGTAATTATAGCGGTCCGCGCCGCTTGTGAACTAAGACGCCCGTACCTTGGCTGAGCAAACAAAAACTTCCCGGGTTAATAATCCGGCCGATTTTGCCAAACTTTCTAAAGTGTAGGATTTTGTTTTCCAGTAGCGTGAAACGAACTCAGTTTGATATCTCTCATTTTTTTTCCCGCTGCTTATGATGGACCCTCAGCCGTCCAAGCAGCTCATCTCGGCTGG